ATTCTCACATAGACTTTTAAGATGAACAAAACTTGAAGGAGGGACAGATGGGATTATACCCACGCATGCGCAAATATAAAAGTAACATGAAATGTTTCAAGTAGTCTACAATCTTTTTGTGTTCCCCTTCCGTTGAGACATACAATTTGTGAGCGTTTTTGGTGAAAGAAACCACTTTATTATGGACAAGAATCGAAAATAATGAGCCCACACAGAACAATTGGAAATGTGAAGTTTCAATTTATCTGCGTGGCCTACCTTATCTGCCCCCCTGTCTCAGTCTGCAAATTGTCAATGTTCCTATTGCTTCAAATCGATGAGAACTATCGTATTATCAACGTTTTTGGTAAAAAATTGCTATATTTTGGACAAGAATCGAAAATAATGAGCCCACGCAGAAAAATTGGAAATGTGAAGTTTCAATTTATCTGCGTGGCCTACCTTATCTGCCCCACTGTCTAAGTCTACAAGTTGTCACTGTTCCTATTGCTTTAAATCGATGAGAACTATCGTATTATCAACGTTTTTGGTAAAAAATTGCTATATTTTGGACAAGAATCGAAAATAATGAGCCCACGCAGAAAAATTGGAAATGTGAAGTTTCAATTTATCTGCGTGGCCTACCTTATCTGCCCCACTGTCTAAGTCTACAAGTTGTCACTGTTCCTATTGCTTCAAATCGATGAGAACTATCGTATTATCAACGTTTTTGGTAAAAAATTGCTACATTTTGGACAAGAATCGAAATTAATGAGCCCACGCAGAAAAATTGGAAATGCGAAGTTTCAATTTATCTGCGTGGCCTACCTTATCTGCCCCCTGTCTAAGTCTACAAGTTGTCACTGTTCTTGATGCTTCAAATCGATGAGAACTATCATATTATCAACGTTTTTGGTAAAAAATTGCTATATTTTGGAGAAGAATCGAAAATAATGAGCCCACGCAGAAAAATTGGAAATGTGAAGTTTCAATTTATCTGCGTGGCCTACCTTATCTCCCCCCTGTCTAAGTCTGCAAGTTGTCACTGTTCCTATTGCTTTAAATCGATGAGAACTATCGTATTATCAACGTTTTTGGTAAAAAATTGCTATATTTTGGACAAGAATCGAAAATAATGAGCCCACGCAGAAAAATTGGAAATGTGAAGTTTCAATTTATCTGCGTGGCCTACCTTATCTGCCCCACTGTCTAAGTCTACAAGTTGTCACTGTTCCTATTGCTTCAAATCGATGAGAACTATCGTATTATCAACGTTTTTGGTAAAAAATTGCTACATTTTGGACAAGAATCGAAATTAATGAGCCCACGCAGAAAAATTGGAAATGCGAAGTTTCAATTTATCTGCGTGGCCTACCTTATCTGCCCCCTGTCTAAGTCTACAAGTTGTCACTGTTCTTGATGCTTCAAATCGATGAGAACTATCATATTATCAACGTTTTTGGTAAAAAATTGCTATATTTTGGAGAAGAATCGAAATTAATGAGCCCACGCAGAAAAATTGGAAATCTGCAGTTTCAATTTATCTGCGTGGCCTACCTTATTTGCCCCCCTGTCTAAGTCCGCAAGTTGTCACTGTTCCTATTGCTTCAAATCGATGAGAACTATCGTATTATCGACGTTTTTGATGAAAAATTGCATATTTTTGACAAGAATCGAAAATAATGAGCCCACGCAGAAAAATTGGAAATCTGCAGTTTCAATTTATCTGCGTGGCCTATCTTATCTGTAGTGATTGGGGCTCTTTAATTTCAGTAGGCAGCTTTTGCCATATTTATTGGTCAATAAATCTAATGGTCTCAGTACCATGTTTTGTTGCACTTCTCTGTACCTCTCTGTACCAGCGCTGTTCTTCCACTGGGAAAAATAACGTTGCTGTTTGCTCGAAATTCATATTTTAGGTTTTTAGTAACAAAGACATCCACCATAAATGCCGGATTCAGGTTATTGACAGTTTTATGTATCCCAGCCAAGAATAGCTGTAAATCTATCTGGTGAAGAGACACTGATTCTGTTTTATTAAATAAGGACTCTTTCTGTTATAATAAGTAATTGATCAAAATTGGAAGTGCTATCTTTGCATATGATTCGAAGAGCACATTCATGAATCTTGTTTACCGTAAAAGCTCTATTGAGCCCCCCTCTCTATTTAGCCCCCCTTTCTAATAAACCAATCTTTTAGGCAGAAATTTGAAATAAGCCACCACTCTCTATTAAGCCCCCCCCCCAATTTTTATACAAGAAAGACTACAGAGTAAAGTGCAATGATTTAGTGATAGCTCATGATGTATTTCGTCGTAATATTGCCAATTTTTTAATTTCATGTGTTTGAGAGTGATATTGACTCTTTTAAAGCAATACCAGATGATGATGTTTTGCAGCAAGATATTGCTGATTTGATTATTTATTCAGACGAAGATGAGGAAAGACTCAAAATTTCATTGAATTCCATGATTTAACGATTAGATTTCTGCCACTGTTCTGTTATACATTATCGTTTTTAGACATAAACCAGAAAGCTACAGAAAAATAAAAATCATTATTGTATCCTTGATCTTGTTTTTTGATATTAGCCCCCCTCCCTCTCCAATAAGCCCCACTCTCTATTAAGCCCCCCTCTAGGACCCCGAAAATTAAATAAGCCCCCGGGGGCTTAATAGAGCTTTTACGGTATTTCATTATTTGAATTACTACCATAGAACATCCACAGAAGTAGGCAATAACTAAAATTAGACATTATGAGGGAGCTCATTGCTAGAACTAGTTGAGGTGCAGCCATTAATGTTGATATGCGATTTACAGCTAGAAGTTTTTGACTGGCCTTTTTGCAGAGGTTTGCAAAGATTGGAAGCTTAACATTTTGTCGAAGGTTATTCTTAGAAGTGTCTTTTTGGTACTTTCTTTTATCAGATTTATACAGAGACCCCTTTATCTTTTTTCCGAATATTAGAAGATGTCATTTTTCTTCGTTCATTTTCATGTAACTATCCTCAAACCATTGTGATAACAAGCAAGCGTTTCTTTCGAGTGATTCTAATATTACGTGCAGATCGGATCCACAAGGAAAGATAGTAGTATCATCCACATAATTACATAAAAAGTAGAAAGTAGGACAAAGAACTACAAAGTATATGGTTGCAAATCCCTATTCTAAGCGTAGAAAGGTGTAAAGGTTTTCGAGATTGGGATTGGTTAACTCACATTGTATTCTTTGTTGTACCTTTTAGTGCAAACCGTCTCCATTCCACACCCTTACTATACATCATGGGCACATGCTCTGCACTTTGTTTCCCCATTTTTGCTGCTATATGCAGGGCCGGTTCCATGGGGGGGTGTGGGGGGGGTGTGACACCCCCCCAAGAATTGAGTTTGGCGATTTACTCGGTAAAGTTCGATTTTTGGTCGGTAAAATTATGTTACGAAGTTTTATATTAAATGCTGTGTAGTGCATCACTGCGCAAAAAGCAATTAAATATGCATAACATTTTGAATATCTAGTTTTCTTCATTATTGCCCTGTGCCTACAAAGACCATGTGATATTTGCTGGTGTGGTCTCATTCGGTGAGAACCTGAGAAACCATTTGTGTTTCCTGCTTACTCTATTGTTCCCTATTGTTCGAATTCCACTGATCGATTTATTCAATAAAACTAAACATAGTGACTGACGCCACCTGTGAAGAAGGCGCGAAACCCGCGAAGCAACATTCTCTGGTAATCCTTTATCTGAATGAAGCTGAGCTGACGAACAAAAGTAGAATTGAAAAAAATAGTAACAGTAATAAGTATTACGCTACTTGAAAGGGAAACGGCAGCTTTTCAGGTAACTCAAAAACTTGCTTCAAATAATGATCTTTCTGTTTTTTGAATTTTATTTTCTGAAGACATATCCATATAATCATTTGTTTTGAATTTTGTAATTCTCGCGTAAGCCTGTGACAAAAAGTCTAGGCCTGTTTGAAAAGCAAGATTTTCCAAGATTTGACAAGGCCTGAGTTTGAGCTTTTGAGAATTTTTTCAAGTGGGTCTCTTCATCTGAAGTAAAACTGAGAACAATTATTTTTACCAGGCTATGTTTCACTGCTATGAAAAGAAGACAAGTAAAAATAAGATGCAAGGCAAAAGGGTGTAATTCCCAGTTCAACAGTGACTATCGCCTCCAACACAATAGAGAGAAACATGAAGGCAAAAATGTGCCATATGAAACCGCAGGTGCAGTTAAAAACCCTTTCGAAGCAGCTAAACGCAAGAAAGATAATCGAATTGAAGAAAAAGATTCATCTTCTTCATCTTCATCTGAGAAGGTATTGGATGACAAAACCGAAGAGATTGGGTTAGCGAATTCTGCAAAAGAAGAATCAGTATCTAATATTAGTAATGTTGTCGGTGAGAATGTGGTTGATGAGGAGAGCGAGAGTGAGGCTGAAAACTCCGAAAACGATGACACCGATGATGAAAATGATGATTATTGGATTAGCTGTGCGGGAAAGCTCAAGCATCTGCTATCCACTTTGGAGCAAAGAGGTAATTTGACGTTAAACATTCTAACACAACCATGTACCCCAAATATCGAAGAGTTTGCGATATCTGCAAAAGAGTTTGCCAACGAGATTAAAACCCAGTGTAATGATTTAGAAAAATCTGCTGAACGACTTAAAGTCAAAATTGACAGGCAAAAAGGATCTGTACAACCTGGAGAAGCAGCAGCACTAATAGAACACGACCCTGGAAAAAGAAAAAAGATTTGTCGGATAGCCAACGCCGTTTTGTGATAAACCTAGGTCCCTACCAGCCTCGCTTGACAGTTTATCCAAGTAATGCATTCATTGAATCTGGTAAACAAAATAAGTTTTCAAGCACCTGGTTCAAAGATTTTCCACATCTTGAATATAGCGTTCAAAATGACGCAGCATTTTGCTATGTTTGTTCCTTATTTCCAAACGGCGCTGGAAGACCCTCTTCAGATGCTTCATGGACTATTAATGGCGTTAGACAGTGGCACAAAATGAAGAGTGTTGGAAAAGGAAAGAAGGGCAAGCTGATACAGCATTTCACCAGCCAAAGTCACAGAGAAGCATTACGAGATTTTGCAAGATTCACTAACCCACATCAGAACGTTGATGCACTTTTGGATTTGTCTCGTCGTCATGAAATGATTAAAGAAACTGACGACGCAATGTTTAACACCAAAATTATGTTAATATTATGTGATGCTGCTCGCACCATGGCTATGCAGGACCTTGCATTTCGTGGAAATACTGACGAATCCAGCAACTTTCATGAGATTGTGAAGTTAATCAGTCGACATTGCGGCATTTTGAAATACTGGCAGAACCAAACAAGGATGCGACCATACCATGTTACCTATATGAGCAAAGACACCCAAAATGAGTTGATAAAGTTGCTAGGTGACGCAGTGAGGCATCGTATGGTGAAGGAGCTAGAGGAAGTCTCAGCGTTCTCAGTAATGGCTGATACTACCCCGGACACAAGCAATAAAGATCAGATGGCAATTGTTGTAAGATACGTCGTCAATGCCAAGCCGGTTGAGCGTTTACTGTGTCTGAGGATTCTCAAAGACAAGTCCGGAGAAGGCCATGCTGCAGAAATTTTGAAAGCTCTCAATGAGTGTAGTGTGGACCCACAAAAACTCGTCTTTCAATCGTACGATTTTGCGTCATGTATGTCTGGAAAGTATAAAGGATGCCAACGAGTGCTAAGTGATAAAATTCAAGAAGATTTTCCACACAAAAAGGAAATCCTTTACATCCCATTCCAGGCTCACAGGCTGAGTACATATGTAGAACGAAGCTCCAAAGCAAGCAGTCTTGTATCATCGATGTTTGACATATTACAGTCATTGTACACATTCTTTTCTAGTAGCACCAAGCGATCTGAAGCACATGAAAAAGCACAAGTTGAAATAGAAGGGGCCTTGAAGATGCGAAATCTTTCGCAAACTCGTTGGATTGCTAGATCTGAATCTATTGACAGTGTCTGGATCTCTTTGACAGTAATCGTCTCGCTGCTCGAGCAGATAATGGATAGACAACTTGACTGTGACAAAAACACACAGGATCAAGCCAAAGCAATTTTGAAGAAAATGAAAACATTTGATTTTGTTTTCAGCTTGGCTACTATGAGATTCATAATGCGGCGCTGTAAGGTTCTGGTTGTGCAATTTCAGGAAGAGGGTTTGAATTTACTCGACGCACTTGAGCTAGTGTCATCGACAACTAGGGCGTTAGAAAAGATTCGAAATGAAGATGACGTGCAAAAGCAGATTGAAGCTGCCACACAAATTGCAATGCACATGGGAATAAATCTAGAAGAGGAGTTTCAGCACCGCCACAGAAGAAGATTGATTCCAAGAAGAATTGATGAAAACCGAGACAACGAGGAGGCATTCTCCTTCCAGACGTTTTATTCGAAAGAGATTTATTCTGTACTTGATCAGATAATTACAGATTGTAAAGAAAACTGGGGTAGCATTTTGAAGAAAATAAAGCCGTTCACTGTTTTGTTGCCTCCTTGGGATAACTTAAGGGAAGAACAAGCAGAGGATCTGGAGCATTTGTTGTCGGGGAAAGTTTCAAGTGGCAGTCTTATTGCAGAGCTTACTGTTTTGAGAGAGGACTTCCAAGAGAAAAAGTTGGTAAAGAGCATGACAGTCCGTGAAATTGCAAAGTTCGTATATAGTCGAAGGCACATTAATCCGGCAAGCAACACAGCATATACATTCCTTCAAACAGCACCAATTACTGTGGCTTCAAATGAAAGCTCTTTTAGCAAACTAAAGTTGGTGAAGACTAAGCTGCGGAGCACAATGCTCCAGGACCGCCTGGAATCTCTGATGCTGATATCATGCGAGAAGGATTTCTCTGAAAATGTCAACTTGGAAGATGTTGTCAAGAACTGGATACACTTAAAAAACAGAAGAGTTCGATTTGACACTACTTAAAGTTAATTTATTCATATATTGCGCTATAAGAACTGAAAAAGAGGCTTGGTCAAAAGCTCCTAATTAAATGACTCGCAAAAATCTGAGGGTTATTTTTTGACCCACCATTGACTCTGTATTTTTATTAGAACGTGCTGTATTTGGTTGAAACGCTTTTTTCAGATTGAAGTTAAAATTAAAGTTCTTTCGTTAAAGTTAAATTTCTTAAATTAAAGTTAGTGTAAGTCATTTAGTTGTTAGTTCTGATCACGATTAGTTGAGCTCAAAATTTTTGGTATTGTTTTTTCTAAAATTACTCGGTACATAAGAGCTTACACCCCCCCAAGAAAATTTCCTGGAACCGGCCCTGGCTATATGCATAACCAAAAATTACACTTGAAATGCTTAGGTGCCTTACGAATTGAGCAAAGAGAGCAGGGAATGACTTTTTGAAGCCATGTTCTAAAATTTCTCCATGCAATCTGCTTTTAGAAACATCAAAACAACCAACTCGCAACCAGGGTCACCAAGTAGGGAAACAGGGGAAATCGCCTTTGAGGGTTTCGGGGGCCTCAAAAAGTAAAACATTTCATTTCCAAAATGCAATAAATCAAATACTAATTACAAAAGAAGCGATAAAAAAGGTACGCCAAAAAAGAACAACGTTTTAAACGATGGCAAGAAAATGACTGCAATAAATGTTCGGAAATGTATTTTAAGACAATCGAAAGCGCGTGGTAGCAAAAATTTAGCAAAAATCTTTCCCTCTATCCCTAGGGCCTCTAGCTCCTTTCGGCGGCACAGCTCACAACAATTCCAAAACATATCTATGAAATTATTGCTCTATATCAGGGCTTGTAAAAACAATCTTTTCAATATCTTTGGCATTTTATAGAAACTTTGCTAGGATGCCCCTTAATGCAGGCGTCCACCACTCTAGTGATGATTTCTTCGTCCTTGTATTCACAAAAAGATATGAAACAATACACTTTTATAAGAATACCTAATTTTTTGATGAGCTTCAATATTCTTTAATTTTTTTATTATGAGCCTAAGATTATTCTTAAATTAATTTTAAGCGACATAAGGTATAACCGAATTGCATTATAGTTTTAAGGACTTCAAGACCAGATACGTCTTTTCAAGACATAAATACGTCTATTTCAAGACAGCGTGAAACACAGACTTGTTTTGCTTTCCAAAAGACTCAAAAAACAAAAAATTTAATTTTTGGTGAAGTTTGAGCCTTGTGCTCTTCTTAGATTATTCTTAAATTTCAGAGATTTTTAGCCTCAATGTTCTTATAGACTTTATTCTTATAACAAAAAGTGTATACACCATATCTGTACTGAGACCTGTTCCTGCTCTTTTGACGCATTACTATAATGACAAACATGATCCAAGCTGTATCACTGCGTAAGACTGTGTGGTGGTGCCAAGTGCAATAAGGCTGCGTTTGACATTACGCTGATGTAAAGTGGCCCACTAAGACTAAAAACAGTTTTAATCATTGCACAAAACCGTCTCAATGCTGCTACCCTGGGTACCAAAGCCACAAAATTTGAGCGCTTATCTAGAGATCCATTTTAAGGAACGTCCTCCGCGTATACACTCGTATCTTCTAATTTCCGCGCTCGAATTTATGTTTCTCTGGTACCAGTGTACAATACTGCACAAAGTGGTAATTACTACACCTTAATATTACCATTTTTTAATGATAGTTGGAAGGTAATTTTTTTGAGCAACTTCTACCTAGTAGTATTTTTTTAATTTTATTATGTAAATCTTTAAATTGGCCCCTCCCTCTTTGGGTAGTTTGTTAATTATAGTAAGAGCAAATTGAAGAAAAGGGCTTAAACAAGGGTGGGAAAAAAAAGAATCATCTGAAAATTGAAATTAATTAGCCCATTATCAAAGGCTCTTTTAGTTTTTCAATTCACTATGAGAATTGAACATTTCTAAAAAATCGATGTTTACATCAATGTCAAAAGCATTTTGGAATTTCTTTTTATTTATTTACCTTCATTTCTCCAAATATGTTCAATTTATCATGGATAAGAATCCGCATAATACGATTAGGGGCTTATTCAATGACAGGGGCCATCGCGACCACGCCTTTAAGCTTAGCTTGCAATTATTTATTTATTTTAAACCTTTTACATTTTCAGGCGTAATTTCGTTTCTTTTAACAAATCCTGATTTAAATTGAAATTTATTACTTAATAAGACACCAGTCTTTAGTTTAGCTTAGGATACATTTCAGAATAGTTCTTACAGTAATTTTCTTGCAATTGTTTAAAAAATTTACCTATGCATTTGTTATGTTTGTTGATTCCTTTCTTAAAAAAGAATTACATTACGAAACATTACAAACAGGGACGCCGGAGAATGGGGCGTGAGGGTCAACCGCCCCTGTTGCCTTTTGATAGGAGGGGCAAGAGGGGCCAGCGTGCCCATTTGATTAAAGTACCCTTGAAACCGCCCCATTGTAAAAATCAGAGAGATTCCGTTGAAATTCTGATTGCAGTGCTCAATTCATGACGACATTTCTCAAAACTTGTAAAATAAATCCTTATGCCAAAGTTAGCCAAATTTCAAGATACGAACAGAAGATTGAAATAAAATGTCAGTTAGTAGTTAGTAGGAGGAATGAAGCTGAAAGAATGAAGTAGAAGCTGAAAATTATTTTCAAAGGCCCTTTACTCAAGCTTGTCCCCTTGCTCTTAAGTCGTTCCAATTCCAGTGTCCATGATAACAGACCTTGAGAACCTGGGACAAAACTGCTCCTGCTCCCCCTTGCAGCCATTTTAGAAGTCGGAATCAAATTTGAGGACCTTAGAGATGCCTTTTATAAATTTCTTGAAATAAAATTATAATTTAGAAAAAGTGTATATCAGCATTTTTCTCCGTGAGGTCTTATACTTAATTACTCTCCCTAAGAAATCAAATCAAATCATAGTATTTACAACGCACAAAGAGATGTTATTTTCCAAAATATTGATTTCCAAAATTATTTTATCTCGTTAGTTTATTTTTTTACTAATTTGTGGCCGAATGTATGTGCTATCAATCTTGGACTAAAATGTTGTATCTTTCTTTTCTTTCTCGATTAAAAACCTTTGGGGGATTGAAAAAAAATTTAATCCAGGGCGAGAGCTTTTTTGAAGAGAACCTCTGTTGTAAGATTTTATGACATTATGCAAGGTACAGGCGCCAAAATAGCTTTCGCATGGGCTGCATGCAGAGCGGCCTCTGTTATGCAAATTAGATGATCCAGACGCAAAAAAAGATTTGGAGTGGGCCCACGCAGATTTGGTTGCCACGCAAATTCTAGTATCACACCGGTCTTTCTGTAGTCACGTGATATTTTGTTTAGGCCTATCATCCTTCAGATACATTCCTTCGCAGAGAGCTAAATTCTTTACCAAGAAAATAATTAGCAGTAAACAAAATATTATAGCGTTAGATGAGCATAAGTGTCCGAAATATAGAGAAAGCGATGCTCTGTCGCTTTTAGCTGCAAAGTTAATTCTTTGGCAAATTTGAGTTTAGGTTTATAGCAGAAGATTAAAGTTGCTTTCAAAGTCAATGGACGCTTTGCATGAAAGATGATACTCAGATATATTTTATGCCTTGGTTCTGGTTCTTAAAGCCAAAAGATGGATCTTCCAAGAGGCAAAAAGTTAAAAGAAGAGGAAAATTAGATGCATTTGATTCTTTCTGGATTTGTTTCTTTCTTTGAAGCTCCTTCTATTTGCGCTACAAAATTTTATTCATTTTCATGGGGGATAGGGGTGTACCACTTAGGGTAACTAGGCTGTCATTCCCTAAAAATTTAAATTACGCAGATTTAAACAGGTGTATCTGTCGATTCAAATAATTTCTTGGGGATTCTGTCTAGGGAAAAGGATCTAGGGATACTGTTCTAGTGAAGTTGACAACTGGTGATGTCCCCTTTGGAACTCAATAAACTGTAACGGAGTGTCCGACTTGACAAGAATAAGACAGAAAACACCGTGAGTTCTCCTCAATATTCCCTTCAATTTCTCAAATACCTTTTCTTCTACTCATCTTCAATCTAAATCACTTTGACTATCATCCGGTACGCCTTAATCTCATTTTTCTCTTACAGTCTCGTTTACAATATCAAAGAACAATACAACATCTTCACAAAACAAGGAAGTAGCAGTGCTTGTATCGAAATGACCAAACTGCAACGATTTGTCAAATTTGTTGACGAGTTGGTAACTGATTCATATTGCATGAAAGCATTTACAGTTGCAAACCGAATTTTGATTTCTACCCCCAAAATGATTCTAGTCTCAAGATGACAAAGTAAGAAAACTTGCAAGAAATTGTTTCCTCTTATTAACTTCATAATTCAAATGATTGGCGTCATCTCATTATTGTTCTACAAAGTCAAACAAAACTGAACTTTACTTACGTTCAGTCACAGGTAAACCAATACTTTTCTGGGCAAGTCGTTAACTTGATACACCATGCTTGCAAGAAGCTCTTTCAAGAAGCAACTTTGTCACAGCCTGGGACAATTCCTTCTAGTGACAGTAGAGTAGACCATTTGTGTCATTATAGCTTTAAGGTTTTCCTAATGAGTCCTCTCCTAGTTTAGGCAGTTTATCACGAGTTTAAGACCATTGAATGGTTATCGTATTTCTGTGCATACATTTCACAGTGGACACTTTTTCAGAACAAATTTATGGGTCCCATAAGAGTTAAGATGCGAAAGAAATACCACGATCTGTTGCAGGTTGTTTGAGACTAATGCATTTTCTATAGCTTTGTTTGTTGCACGAGATTCCAGTTCCAAGACAGAATTTGAAAAAAGAGAATGGCAAAAAATGCGTGAATTTTTCAAAAGAACAAAGCAAATTAACTGCGTTTTTGTGGAGTGATTTGCATCCAGTACACTCAATTCTATAAGCAGACTTTTTTATTTTGAATCAAATCTTGATCTGAATTCACATTAATGAAGGAGCAAGGAAATCTTCATGTCAACAGAACCAAGACTTGCACCGCTCAAGCTAAGCCATGTCAAGAGTTAGCCCGACACTATGGGAATATGGAAATCGTGAGGTAAAATAATGGTTTGTTTGCAAAAAAGTAAGCAACGAAATTGTATAGCTACCTAACTAATAAATTAATTAATCTCAAACGATAAACATTCCTAGTATTTGGAATATTTCGCTTTTCAAAAATCATCTCGATTTTAGCAAAACCAAAAAGACAAAAATGGTAATAACAAAATTTGTTCTTGATAACAGGACTGAAATTAAAAAGATAATTATTCATAAACTTAAAATAATCATGAAAACATAGCGGCAATGTCCTTCAATAGTGTAAAATTGAAATGTCTCTTGGCCTAGTGACCTTTGCTTCAGAAGTTTTAATGGCTGCCTTGCTCAAAACAACTTGGCTGATATATGACGAAGAAAATCTTACCATGTCAAGATTCATTTAGAATGGAAGCTCAAAGCTGACTTAGAATATTTTAACTTGATAGCCAGTAAAAGAACTAATAGAGATGTTTTCAACTAAAGGTGAACGAACAAAGATGGCAACTTTTGTAATGTCAACAAACGGGTGTATAAAATTGGTTGAGAAAACGTCTTGCAGAAAATAATTTTATTTAAAACTAGGGAACATACTGTAGGATGCTAAAACTGCATAATGTTACAAATTCCAATTACAAGAATACTTTATTTGTCTGCGTTCTAATTGATTATCCCAAATATATACATAAATTACAGATCACAATAGCCTCTTTCTCCAAAACGCGAAGAAAAAGTGGGTGCTGCTATGCTTTTTAACATAGTGGTGAAAATTGTTCATTTAACGCCAATGCTAAGGCAATAATACCGCAGCATCTCATACAAATAGGCTACCAAGCTTTGTATTTATTCAGCATGGGTGATTTTAAGTTGAAAAGTAAGATTTAACTTCAATACAACTGATCTTGAAGATTTGTCAGTTTTTTTTCACGATGGTAACTACAATCCTGAACAGACTGCCACGGGCGACTTGAATATAGAAGCGGCTAAGTCTAGGCCGTTATTGAGTTGAAAAAGTTTCCCTTCGCCCTTTATCTGCCAGTCATTAAACAGTTGTGTTGAGCAAAAAATGGTTCTACCATTTTTGTTTCAATCTTAAAGCAGGCAATTCACTGGATGAGAGAAAGAATAAAAATGGCATTCCACTGACCATGTGACATGGCTTATCGACTTCTTTACTTGAAGGCATAAACAAGCTAAGTGCAGACAACTTTATCAGGTTTATCTCATAGAAGTTTATAACCTACAAACATCCTATTATGGGGTATAGATCAATAAAACCATAAATCTTTCTAATATATATATCCCTACAATAAAGTTACAAAGTTCTCTAAAGTTACAACAATAAATAAACTACATGTGGAATTATTTACAAACAGTCTCAATTACAAACAATTTGAATAAATATATAACAAAGCTTTAATCGTGCGAGTTTCTACTGTTAGTCTTTAGCATGGTAAGTTTCTTTGCAATTTGAAAATCTGTTCTTATATCCTTTGCAATTTGAAAATCTGTTCTTTGCAATTTGAAAATCTGTTCTTATATCCTTTGATATGTAATTCAACTAGACGGACATGAAATTCTACGAAGAAACTTGAAGCATAGTGACAACTATTGACATTATCATTGTAACTACAGCAACCTCCGTGTAGATTTAGAACTGCTCGCTTGCTCCCCACCGTCAACAACTTTGCCAGAGGAAGAACACGAACCAGACCTGATCCAACCACGGGTAATTTCCTTTGGATATCCACGTTCCAAGTAAAGATTTTGACTGAGTCTATAGTATTTGCTGCCTAAAAGTGTAAAAAATTCCACTGTCAAGCTTGAAAAAATAAACAGGGCAAAAGCAGCTGCTATAATAGTAGGCCAAGACTTAATGGAAAGGCTTGGCAAATACAAGGAATTGGCATACAGCTTTCACACACGATTTGTGAAAGATTTCCCTAATGTGCATTGTGTATCCAAACAGTGTTTGAGAGCATGATTTTGGCATAAGTTTGCAAAAAATGATGTTTTCATTGAAATTCTATGCTCCAAAAGAAAGGAAACAACCAATACCTTTAAAGAAGTACGAAACTCCATTTGCCCAGGTTGTCACAGCATCTATATTATCTGGAATTCCACCCCATGCAGATGATATTTTCCTTGGATAGCCGCTGGCTGCGCGATAAATACTGCCGTATGTATAGACACGCCAGTATTCCGACCCTTTGAAGATGTACAACAAGTTGTTGCCTGGCCAAACAAATGCACCGTCAATGTCACCAAAATTTGCGGGAAGGCCAACAAAACCCTGGCTGATGGGAGTTGGACCAGAGACATAATCATGATCACCACTGAATACATAGTAGCTGAAAGGAAATACGCATCATTTAGTAAGTGACACAACAGAAATAAGAATAATAATGTTGGGGGAAACTACAACAAGACGATTCTCTACAGTTGCAATCATATGAATGACAATGTTGATGGCGATGATATTAAGAAAATGATATAAATGATAAAGATGATGCTGATATTCATCAGAAAATTACCTTTTTCCACTAAAGATGATTGTGTTCCTATCATGCTGTCTTTTGAATGCTGCATCAACAGATAATACTCCTTTAAACAATTTAGAAACTAGAATTGGTCCTTTTTCAATGCCAAGGGTCTTCTTCAGGATGTAGAGTTTATCTGAGTTGAAGAAATAAGTTCTTTTGTCATTGCCAAGGAAAGCAGCATCCATTCTATTGAAACACCGAGAGTCGTACGGCTGGACAGTGACAGTAGGTATGCTTGGTATTGTGACGGCCTTTTCACCTGAGGCATAGAAAAAAATTAATATTAACAGGCTTTGACTGTAATCGTAGGATTTTGTTTTAATCGTTTATTGGTATGTTGGATCAAAGATATCGCGTATAATTGATTATTGTGTTACTAAACCAACTATCGTCTTAGACGGTTAAATTTATAAAATTAAAGTGGTATGATAGTTACCCTTACTTTTCACGGGTAAAACAGAAGTTGAATTTGGCGTCTCAAATAGCTAAAAGAATATGCCAAAAGAAAATTGTTCATCATTTATTCTTGACTTACCATAAAGAGCCTGGGCTCCTCTGACGTCATCGGGAGTAAGGTCGAAATCTGCGCCTTGATACCCTTGGTAATACGGGAACATGATAGAGCCCCTGACGTCAGAATGGTCCAGGCCAATAGAATGGCCTAGCTCGTGGACTGAAACCCACAAGAGGTCTTTCCCGGTTCGCGACTCAATCGTGAAGCGTTTATCGTCATTGAAGTGAACATCGCCAGAGAGAGCTATTGTTGAAAGAGCCAAGGATTCGATTACAGTGCAGTCATTCATAGTATTTATTGTAGAGAGAAATGCGGAGATAACACCTAATATGAAGATATTCTAAGAAATTGACAATTACTGTTTTACAGGTCAGTGCTCGACGTCGTATAGGCAGGGCTGTACAAGAATTGTTGCCTGATTATCAAATTATTCGTGAAACTCGAAGTTCTATATACCTGTTTCGAGATATATGGCACATTATGTTTCAATATATATGGCAAACTAGCATATAAAAGAACTTTTCAATGTCACTGAAGGTCAAGAAGTGCGTGCATATTGCTTAAGCCGACTGCTAGCCCATTCCATCTTCGAATTCGTTATAAAAATCAAGCAAGAAAAAAATTATTCCTTTGGGTGTCTGCTGAGAGGAATATCTGTATATTTAAACGATGGCAAAATGAAAAAAGATAACATTGCCTTGGCCATTGGGATATGCCATTACAATCTGCAATCTCAAAATGAGCAGGTAGGGTAATAATTTTGCCCCAAATAAGAAACTCGCCCATTTGGATTGAACAGATAGTAAGAATCTAATTCTGGCATTAGCAAATGCTTTCAAGACAGGAATGGTTCTCGATGTTTTCTACAGCCAAAAATTAAATACACCGCAATAACGAACAATGAAGCTTTAAAAAGCAATAGAAGCACTTACGCATTTTGCTATCCATTGGATAAAAAGCATGCGCCAATACGGAACTGTCAGGTGATCTAAATGGGTATGGATCACCATGGGCACCACGAACGAATCTGAACCAGATATCTGGCTCTCCTGTCGCAATTTCTTCGAATTCTATGTTGGTAACGCTGGACCATTTACTGAGCGCATTTTCAAAGATCATTTTTACCCTTTCAGGACTCAGACCGTCATTGCCATAGTTTTCTACACGCCATGTGAGTTTCTAGAACATAATTAGAAACAATGTCAAATGAAATTGTCGATTAAAGAGCTCGTGCTTTGTTTTAGCAATAATAAAGGCGAGCTTAAATGTATATCATAAGGCAGTACACTTCAAAGGGAAGCGAAGGCGAAAAGGGTAATCGCTGACCACGCCCTTCAGATTTTAGCATCTCTTTAGAAACGGTGCCAATTTTAAGTTGTTAAGTACACCTGAACGTTTATTGCCGTGCCTTTACCTTTCAAAAGACATTCAAAGCCTTCAAAATATAATGTTGTTAATAATGAAACATTGGTTCACAATACCTGTTTGTTCCACTTTGTTCCCTGGATGTTGTATCGCCTTTTCCTTCTGGCGCTATCTGCCCTGCCGATGTCAGGCATCCCACAACGAGATGTGTTTAGCAGTTTAGCAGTCTCACTGTCCACTACCCCAGTTGGCGGTAAGCCTGCAAACTCTTGCATCTTCTCCACTGCTTTTACTACTTCCTCTTGGCTCAACAGTTTCCCTGCTCTTGGGTCGGGTTTTCGTAGGTACCCAAACGATTCTAAAAAGTCCTGTGTAGACAGACAAAAATTAATTTACAAAGTCTACTCATTGAGCGGACTGGCCTAATAAGTAATGGGCGTAGAGTTTTGCTTCCAAATGGAGGGAGGAAGAAGGAGGAGGGGGAGGGGGGGGGTGTCTAAAAAAGTTTGTCGAAGTTGTGAAGAGAAACTTTTTGGCGACCGTTTTAAAGGAAAAATATGGCCCCGTGACTCCTTTTAATTTCACGCCCATGACTGGACGAGCTAGACCACAATGCCCATACATCTAATTCCTTTGAAAATGTCCACTTTTGCGAGGCACCGAATGGAAATGTGCCCTCAATGACGTCATTTCAACATAATATTAGAATCAACATAAAAATAACACGAAAAAGATAGAAACACGCTAGTTATCTGTTCAAACTATGTTATTTGTTCAAGACTTCCATTTCAAAATCAAAGTGCAGTGCAATTCGAGTCATTTATTGATTGTCTTTCTTTGTTCTCGAGCAGTTGGCTAGCATTGAGAAGAGTTCACAATGGTTCATTCATTCCTTGTCTTTCACGCTGAGAAATGACGATGTTCAGTGTGCAAACGTGTGTCACGATCAGGGTGAATAAACATGGTATCATTATGAATCAATGCGGTCATTTACGAAAGGTTTTACTTTTACTGCCTATAAACACCAGTTGAAATATTCCAAAGCAACGCTCGTGAACGTTTTCGGACGCTGCCCACGCTTATCGTACCTCGTTTTCCTGTGGTGGTTAAATGAAACCCAAACCACAAAGTGGTTACATTAAACACAAAAGGGGTCTGTATAAATTGACAGTGCTTTATGAGCTGAAGATACAAATATTTATATAACAGGAGCGATGTTTAATTAATGGGGGATCCTAAGGACATTTGGCATGGCTTCAAACTGCGTTACTTCATAGCCTTTACTCTAAAAAGGTGCATTCTTATGGGCTGTTTTCTTCTAAAAAACACGTGTGCAGGCCACACCCCTGAAGATTTTAGTTTAAAATTAAATACTCAATTCATATAGCGAATCTATTTAGAACAGTTGCCCTTACAGTAGCAAAATCTCTTGTTTTGTCAATATAATGTTTCCGTGGCACGATTAAAGGGATTTTAATGGTTTCGCGAGTTTTTATAGAAAGGCCATGACGTCAGCTTGAGCACCAGCAGTTTCATCATCAAATCGAAATTCAATGTGTTTCAATATTGAAAGCAGATTGTTTCTATTTCATTGTTTTGGATATTGATGTCATTTGGTGTTTTTTACGAGAAATTTCTATTCAGATGACAACAACTAGTCAGTTCTTTGTTCTCTGTTATTCTTGTGTAAAGCCTAAGGATTGTGAGGTATTCAATGCAATACAACTTATAGATTTAAAATGCTTATAAATCTAAGTAACAAAAATGAAAGTAAAATTTATGGTAAGATGTTCAAATTCAAATCCTACTTTTCTAATAAATCATGAAGTTTGGAAAAAATCTAGAAAACACAATTCTTGAAGTCTCATATGAGCGAATGCTACGATTTAAAATGTTTTGAGAGATGAAATGAATTTTTTTCTTACCATGGTAGTTGCTGTAACATCTCCTTTGACGTTCACTGGAGCCGTTGCAACAGTTAAAAAACCCCCAAGCACCAGGCCAATCCCAAGAAGAATTTTAAGATGTGCTTCTTCCATCATTTCTTGATAATGTTTCTATTAAGGCTGCTGTGATTTAAAATTCTTCTCAGACTTTTCTGCTTGATTTGATCTCGTTTCGTCCTCGGGTCGCCGTTTGTATATTGTGCAAGTGTCTTCAAGAACTAACCAACCGAGATTTTATGTCGGAAATATATAGCCGATCGCCGAAACCTCAAACCCACGCAATATCCCGTATTTGGACATAGTTATCATTAGACCATTGAATATGACACGGGCCCGATCACAACAGGAAGCTGTGTCGACCAGAAAGAAACAATTCCGCATTCTGACGTAGATACTCTCTGCTGCATCGGAAAGTCGAACATGGACGTCCCTACTAGCTCTGATATAAACCACGATCAGGCAGAGAAATATGGAAAAGGATACAAATTGTCATTCAAAAAACTTTACAAATGTCATATCCTAACCTTAAAACTTTGGAACATGCTTTCCAAAAAAACAAAAAATTTGCTCGAACAATAACAGATTTCTTAGTATTTGCCCCGCAAAGGATGGAGACTGGTGGTTAAGCCCCAACATTTTGCTAGAAAATGTAAATAATCAAGAAATGGACCACCAGTCAACTCTCCTTTTAATCGGTATTAGCCCCCCCCCCCCCTTACTTTTCTCAACGCTCCGCGGTGCCTGAAGGGGCAGATCAGTCTATAGAAATCGCGTAAACTTCTGTTGGAAATCCTGTTATTTTTTCTTTAAAATCCGTAGAGATCCTTTTTTGGGAGGAAATCTCGTACGCGAACCGCAAGAGTGGCCACTGCACTCACGCTAATTGAAGGCTCAAGATTGAAGGACGGGTGGAGCTGCAATTAACTTTCGGTCTCAAATTTGATAAAATTTGACAGGGCAGTTATGATCTAAAAAATAATAAATGGTCTCTGCCCAGACAATTTGAAAGGAAGACTTGTCACTAGATCCCAAATATCTAACTATTCAACAAGAAATTGCCTTCACCTAGACATCCCAAAGCAAAACCTAGAATTCTCCAAAAGAAATTTTTTATATTGTGGTGCACAGACGTGGAATGAAATCCCATTACAAATAAGAATGAGCTCTACGATTACCACGTTCAAAAAGAAATTAAAGGAATTCCTGCAAAAATAGCATCCTTTCCCGAGGCACGATCCCTAGGAAGACAAGCATTATATGTAAATGAATCTTAACTTTTCTTGGACTTAGTACCTGATAGGGTTTCTGTGTTTAAATATGATAAAATAAATAAAAATAAATGATCTGTACTGTCTGGCACAGGTACGCCGGAGAAAAGGGCGCGGGGGTCAATCGCCCCTGTTGCCCTCTGATAGGTGGCGCAAGAGGGGCCAGAGTACCCTTTTCATTAATGTTCCCTTGAAGCAGGGCAATTGTAATAATCAGAGATATTAATATGAAATTATGATTATAGTGCTTAATACATAACGACATTTCTCAAAACTTGTCAAATAAAACCTTAATCCAAAAGTTACCCAATTTTCAAGATATCTACAGAAGATTGATATAAAATAGCAGTTAGTAGAAGGAATTAGTAGAAGCTGGGAGTTATCATTAAAATACTCTTCTACTCAAGCCTGCCCCCCTCACCCCTTGGTCGTTCCGGCGTCCCTGACTGGCAGTACGACAAAATATGATACCAGATCAGGTTACCGCATAACGTTATACTGGCAGGGTAAAAATATTCTAAATTGTACCAAACAGTCAAAATGGAACTTGATAAGAGAAGCGCATTCCAAAACGGTTATATTTAGCCCTTTACTCCTATTCCGATACAAGATTATGTTAAATGAAAACATATCTAAACAATTTCTTACAAAGCGATGAAAGCCAAAGAGAGCCAAAGTTCATAACCAACGGGATTTACTCATTCCAGCAAATATTATTTTCCTTCCTACAGTAATCAACCCACAAAATCATTCTTAGGTAGAGCCGATTTCCGATATCCTAGTTTTAGGAAACCTATGGCGCGCTTTGGATTTGGGATTTTTGTGGGACAGGCATACTGTACCTTGGGTAACCTGATGCCTCTCACTTCCTCATGTTACGAGTTTCTCAGTTTTCAATTTTTGGCTCCCTCTTCTCAGGTTAACCGTAATTTGTGGTTAATCGAAAAGGTAGCTATTTTGCCAGAAGCCTGTGTGCGAGTTGAAAGGTTTGGAATGGAGTAGAGAAAAACTTCATTACATCATATGTGTAAGAATCAAGATCTTTATGGCAATTGTAACAGTTATCTTAACTCGATGTAACTTAATTGTGCCTATAAATTGTATGCGCCGCAGAATATTGCATCATATAGGGGCACTTTATAAAATCAACTATTCATTGTTATTATCTATCATTATCAGTCCCCCCCCCCCCCTAAGAAAACATTTTAAGCGTTAGAAGTGCAGGGGCAGGAAAACATTACGGTCGCACGGACACTGACCAGAGGAAGGTCCATGAAAAACAATAGAAGCTCCTATGACACACCCAAGCGACGCCTACTTTCTATTGTTTTGTGAGGAAGGTTTGCCTTCTGGGATGTTTTTGTCTGGAGGAAGGTTAACAACTTTTTTAGACCCTGTAGAAGTGATCTCCGAAAAACAATAGAGTCGACATGTGGGGAGATATTCTTTTAAGACATTTTACAAAAGTTAGGGAAAGGGTGCAATAACCTAGCGAAACATTTCCTGGCCATGAAGCTTTGAACTATTGAGTGATTCAAGGAAAACCATTCAACTTCTTGTTTTGGGAAAATATTGACTATTGCGCAGAATCATTGAATTTGTAAAATTTTATTTCCCTTCACCTTACTAGATTTGAATGGAAATCTCATTGGTAATCTGGTCAACAATTAAGTGGGTAGTTGTTTTTGCCTGTATCTTCTCACAAAGATGTTTTTCAAAAATTTAAACAGCAAACCACGCTTATCAAACAATCGTTTCATTCATAAGTTTTTTTAAATTGATGTAAATTGACTCAATGAAAAATAGACTAACTAGATCTTTTATCAAGATTCTTTCCGTCTGGCGATTTCCGCAACGTGAGGATGAAAAATATGAAGATTTAATCGTTAATTGGGTAATAGACGGTAAAAACAACAGAAAAAAACACCGCCAGGGGTCAAAAGCATTTCAAAGTAGTGAATGTTGGGAGAAAGAGGGTCCATGAAGTTCTACTTGCAGATATCAAAAGAAGCATTTTCTCTAATTCTTACGGTTACTCTAAAAGACTTACACTCTTTTATTTTTAGAAGAACAATTTTATAAGAATACGAGCCTCAAAATTGGTCAAAAGTTAAGAATAAATTAAGAACAAGCTGAGGCTGAGCTTCTGCAAAATGCAATCTTGAACAACGTTTTTTCTCAATCGAGGATTTTTAGCCATATGTGGGTGCTTTTTCTGTGAATATTAGAACGTTTCGGCAAACGAAGCTTGTCTCACTCAATTTGTCGGCAAATGAGGCCGGAACACCTCTCTAGAGCGAAAAAGCTAGCACTCGCACTGCTGACACCCTATAAGATTAAGAACAAACTAAGAACAATCCAGCCTCAGATTTTCGAAAAAATTAAGAAAAGTCAGCCTGAACTAAAATTTAATGGTTCTTATAAAAAAAGAGTGTATCTTGCAATAACATACACTCAAGCATACTAACACGAGGGTAATTGATATAATCGAACAAGATTAAAAGGAAATTGCAATGAAAGGACAGCACAGATTGTTGTCAATGAAATAAAAATGTCCCATGAAGAGATTATGGTTTTGACGGTGATCAAAATCAAAAGAATATATTCGTTATGCCCGTTGGAAGTCGGTCACGGCAAGTTATGGGTGGAGCTGAGAAAATAACACTTCCTTTAAGGCAGTTCCACTTGAATATGGAAAATCACGGGTTCATGAAACTATGGTTTTATTTGTTTACATTCTACCGGAATTTACAAAACCTCGGAGTTGACTACGACAACCAGCGCTCTTACAGCAGCCAACAAAGGTCAATATAGCCTTATGGCAGCTGTCTTGCACAACATCTTACTGTTCCTAGAAGAGTTATCTTTGTTTGTTTGTGCAAAACAAATAAAGAAAAAAATTAAGTATTTCTTCATAACTGGCTGGATGCAGTTGTGCATTCCCAAACTATCATTTTGGTGGTTTGTATATCAGTGAAAGGGAAATTATCCTTAACTTAGAACCATTATTGAGTAACATAACCAAGGTGTCTTTTCTTACCCTAACCGGCCATATGTCATTTGTGAGTAACAGGAATAACTATTGACCTAAGATACTGAGCAGATACTGGGACATTTAAAGGTGCTAGCAATACCAATGACATCGTTGCAGTTCATTGTATTTGATTTTTGAGTGCCTTTCCCCAGGCAATGGCGGACATTTAAATTCAGATCACCAGGATATCAGGGGTTTGAAAGCTGTATATTTAAAAATTGGGGGGGGGGGTGTCGAATCTGTGCCTTGAGAACATATTGATGCATTTATAAGTTAACCGTCTTGGCACAGAATAGGAATTAGGTGGTCTTGGCGTGCTTGCGAATGTCAAAGCATAGTCAAAGACAAGGTAGCAAAAAATCCGTGCATTTTGCTTCTTCTCACAATATAGTTCCTGGTTCTACCCAAAATTTACAATTGTACTACAGACAACAACAGGAGCCGGACCGGATGCACAAAGCGGAAGGGTGGATGCTATGAACTGGGAAATAGAAAGCATTACAAAGTTAGGGGGCACAGATAAGAAGGGGCACTAATCGGAAAGTTCTAGAGTGGTAGCATCTAAGACTCTGGGGCATGTATCCTGGTGTTCCTAGATTCCGACGTCGCTGACAATGGAATGTGATGATAAGTGTCATGGAAAGCAATTACGTTATATTAAAATGAAAAATTTCAGACTTTCTATTCGATTGATTCAGGGTATTTTAATACATTTGACCATAAAGAGGCTCACGGATTTACACGTATTTTTCACAAGAAATTTGCTATAAGCAAAATTACCTTCAAAAAAAGTCGGCCCTAATAGCCATGAAATTAAGAAACTTTTTAAATAAACGAGTATCGAATTCACAGTAGCATTAACAAACTGGAGTACTCCAAGTCGGAACAAGAGGAAGGAGCAAATCACTCCTTGGAAATCTCGTAC